GCTGCCTTCTCTCCATTAGAGCCCGCGGAGCCACGCCACCGAGCATCGTCATCCTGGTGGTGGCGGCGACGACGGCGTTCATGGCCAATCGGTCGAGTCCATTCAGCACGCAGAGAGCCAATGGTACGAGCGCACTGGCATCCAGCTGAGGCTGAACCCGGGCTTCTACTAACTCTTGTGTTTGTTTGTTTGTTTGTTTTGTTGTGCGTTCCAGTGCCGATGATCGTGGCCGGTCAATAAGTGCGATAGCATCAGCGGACCCTCAGAGGGGTCAACGGAGCTGCTGCTCATGATGTGGTCTGCGAGGAGTTCGGAAGAGACGTTCCAGGCGATCCACTCTCCCGCTCTCAAGGTGAATGTCACTGAAGTTTAAAAGTCAGCTGACTGGCGCGCCGCCTGCAGGCTCGTGTGGTTGATGGCGGTTGTTGTTGTTGTCAGGGCGAAAACTGATGCTTCTGCCGAGGCCAGGTGGCGTTGGCGGAGTTCAGGAGCTAAGGCGACCCCAAGCGGCCTCGTGTGAGGACTCGTCATCCAGAGTCGCAACGACAAAGGCAAAGGGTGGATCATCATCAGTTCTACTCTGGTTCTATGGTTATATACGACCTACAGAGACGGTACGTAACTCTGGTTCTATGGTTCTATACGACCTCCAGAGACGGTACGTAACTCTTGTTCTGTGTTCTATACGACCCCAGGACGGTACGTAACTCTGGTTCTATGGTTCTAATACGACCTCCAGAGACCGGTACGTAACTCTGTGGTTCTAATGGTTCATACGACCCTCCAGAGACGTAGGTAACTCTGGTTCTTATGGTTCTATACTACCTCCAGAGACGGTAGTAATCTGGTTCTATGGTCTTATGGTCTATTACGACCTCCCAGAGACGGTACGTAACCTGTGGTTTTATGTTCTATACGACTCCAGAGACGGTACGTAACTTCTGTGGGTTCTATGGTTCTAATAAGACCTCCAGAGACGGTACGTTAAGCTCTGTGGTTCTATGGTCTATACGACCTCCAGAGACGGTACTACTCTGTGGTTCTATGGTTCCTATACGACCATCCAGAGACGGTAGTAACTCTGTGGTTTTTATGGTTCTATACGACCTCCAGAGACGGTACGATAACTCGGTTCTGTGATTCTATACGACTCCAGAGACGGTACGTAACTCTGTGGTTCTATTATGGTTCTATACGACCTCCAGAGACGGTACGTAACTCTGGTTCTATGGTTCTGTCTCTCAGTCCAGTAGCGACAGTGATCGTCCAGCGGGGGACGCTGAAGCGAGGCAGCGTGCTGGTCGTGGGGAAGAGTTGGGCTAAAGTGCGTTTGCTGTTTGATGAGAACGGGCAGGCGGTGAAGGAGGCGGGGCCGGGCAGGGCAGTGGAGGTGGTCGGTTGGAAGGAGCAGCCGTCAACTGGAGAGGTTCTACTGGAGGTGGAGTCAGAGGTCAGAACCAACACTGAGTATTTGTAGTATTTGTGGTACTTGTAGTATTTGTATTGAACAGTAGTATCTGGTTGTGGAGCAGCAACAGGCGAAGGAGGTGGTGAGCTGGAGGATCTATGAGGAGGAGCAGCAGTGGCTGCAGGAGGAGCAGAGCGCCATCGAGCTCAAACAGAAGGAACACCTGCAGGAGTACAGGAAGGAGAGGGAGGAGCTAAGTCACCTGAGCTGGAGGAAGAGGAGGGCAGCTGTGTACCAAGCTAACAAGTACAAGTACTGCATGAGGCCGAGCGAGAAGACGCAGAGAGACGATCTGATCCTGCCGCTCATCATCAAAGGTACGCAGCTAACGATGCTAACGATGCTAACTGACCCCTCAGGTGTAACTGACTGACCTTTGACCCGCAGGTGACGTGAACGGCTCGCTGGAGGCCATCCTCAACATCCTGGACAGTTACGACGCTCAGCAGCAGTGTGACCTCGAGGTGGTTCACATCGGCATCGGAGACATTTCAGAGAACGACGTCAACGTGGCGGAAACATTCTCAGGTAACGACCACGAGAGAATCCCGCGGAGCGCCGGCCGTCAGTAACCAGGCTTCATTCAGCTCCGCCTCCATTTATAGATTATTAATTATCGATCGCAGCACGTAAAGCTGATAACTTCACCACTTTTATTATTTTAGTCAAAAAAGGAATCAATAAAAACAGTTTTTAATCAATTAAACACATTTTGTTTAAAATAAAAGCTGTGAAATTAATTTTACTCTGGAACAGTCTGAATTCTTCTTCTTCCTCTTTCAGGTTCGATTTACGGCTTCAACGTCAGGGCCACTAAGTCCGTCCAGCAGCTGGCGGCGAAACGGCGCGTCCCGCTCCGACTTCACAACATCATCTACAAACTGGTCGACGAGCTGAAGGAGGAGCTCGGCGCCAAACTGCCGCCGCTCGTCTCCGAGAACATCGTGGGTGAGGAAACGTTTGATGGAACTGGTTTTTCATTTTGTGGCTGAACCGACTGTAAACCACATTGTGAGCTGGTTCCTGACAGGAAGTGCACTCTCTCTCTGGTCGCCCAGGTGAAGCGACGGTTCTCGCCATATTTGAGGTCTCAGTGGGGAAGAAGAAGGTTCCCGTCGCCGGCTGTCGGGTTCAGAAAGGTCAGCTGGACCGCCAGCTGAAGTTCAGAGTGATCCGAGGCCAGGACGCCGTCTGGGAGGGTGAGTGTAGACCTGGACCCGTCAGCAGTCTGTCAGCGCTCGCAGGTGAACTGAGCTAACCCGTGGCGTTCCCCGCAGGTTCTCTGGCGGCGTTGAAGCATCACAAAGACGACGTGCAGACGGTGAAGGTGGGGATGGACTGCGGCCTGTCGGCTGACGGAGACCTTGACTTCATGCCCGGTGACGTCGTCGTCTGCTTCGAGAAGGCGAACGTGCCGCAGGTCACTTCCTGGGACCCTGGCTTCTAATGACTTCATCTCCCAGCATCCTCTGCTGCAAACAGGAAGTTGGACTAACTGCTGACGTACAGACTTCCTCAGTTTGGGTCATAAAATCATTTCCTGCTTCGGCACGTCTGAGTGACATCACTTCCTCCCAACAGACTGAGCCCGGACTTTAAACTCAGTTCTGGACTTCATCAGGTCCCGGTGCCGGTCCAGTGAATTCTCCACCTGACGCTCTATTTCAAGAGATAACTGCTGTTTTTTGATGCCATTAAAATAAAACTCATTAAAACTCATCTCTGTTAGGTTTCCAACACGATCACCGAACTCCTGTTTGTGGATAATAATATCCTTAATCTCACCGACGTAGATGAAAAAACAGCAGTCTCAGCCGGAGCAGACCGGCTATGGAAACAAATCCACAGAGAAGGCTGCGATAACAACACAGGCAGAGGGAGAGAGACACCATGTGACTCTGTGTATAGAGAATATAATGTTTAATGTCATAAAACCACATTGAGCCGTTTTCACTGACTGAATATTACAATATTTATTCTGTAATTAGAGCTGATATAAAGTCTAACGAGGCTGAATGAATGAATGATGTCAGGGTGAAGGAAGCAGTTCAGACGGCTGCAGTTGGAACCAAAACAACTTTATTTACAAAAACAAACGGAGTTTTGTCCGTTTCAGTACACTCTAAAACTTAAAAAACAAAAAAAGACAGGAAATAACAGGAAGTAAAAGGGGGCGGGGCTCCGGTGTGACATCATCCAGGTTACATCAGATCAGATCGGCCACTGCGGAGACAAATATATATATTTATATTTATACCATTAACAGTATCACTGAGCTAATGGAGACGTTTACAGTTCGTTCTGTCACAATATGAAAACAACAGATCAGAGGAACTCCACACAACATGGTGATTTAATGTTAGAACAGAGAGAGAGAGAGGGGGAGAGGGGGAGAG